AAATATTGAAGTCCTGAATTCAAAATAAATCATTTTCATATGGGCAGTGGAGACTCGTATGACCTTCTCGTTCACAAAGTCCACACCAGGAGGCCTTTCCTTCACTCGGATCTAATTTTTTTTCTGGCTTATATATTGGGAGATGTTGGGATGAAAGAAGCGTGTTTATGCTATGCTCAGTCAAGACCTTTGGTTGAGGTTCAACTTCGGGCATCAGAATAGACTTCTGGCTGGATAATTTCTCATGGTTTTGTTTTTCACTAAGATCTAAGCTCAAAAACTCGTCTAGCACCTTGTCTTTGGTTGAAATTTCCAAATTGTGCAAGCTCTTGAGCTCCTCAATTGATTTGTTTAATTTATTTCGCTCTTCGAAAGTCGGCCTTGACTCAAGCTCTATCTTTAGGTCTTCAATAATTTTCTTTAGATGAGAAGATTCTGAGTCATTCAAGCCACCGTTTTCGGAACTAGAGACATGAGACTCTGTTAATGTGATCGAACCTACCGATTTCAGAAGTAACTTTTCCATCTCTTCATTTTTCGTTCGAGAATGAGATTCGAGCTCCAGAAGCTTGCCTTTCAACTTTTTGTTTTCCAGTTTGAGATGCTCGATCTCATAGGTATGATCATTTGATCGCAGATTTGAAGAGCTTAAAAGACTGAGACGACCTTCTAATTCTTTGATCTCTTCAGTCTGTCTCAAGATCTTAGCTTCAAATTCCAGGCGCATTTTTTCTTTCTCTTCAACTGTTGCGTTCAAGTCATCTCTTAATTCTTTTACGTCCTCTTTTGTGGGTTGATCGTTAGATAAAGCTTGGTATTGTTCAATCTTCCTATTCAAGTCTGTTATTTGTGTCTCAAAAAGTAACTCATTTTCTTGCTGATTTGAAACCATTAAATCCAAGGTATCTTTCCAATCTCTTCTAGCATTTTCAAATTCAATTTTTTGTCTTTCAAGTCTCTTGTCCTTCTCAATGGCATCGTGTTCATATTCTTCAAGGAGCGGCTGTATTTCATTAACTGTCGACCTGAGGTCATCTAGGATTGCATTTTTTTCAAAACTCTCTCTGCTCATTAGCTCATATTTCTCTTTTAGTGCTTTGTATTTCGCTTGGAAATCGTCCTCCTCTTTAAGGTCCACGGCTTTAGGAATATCGGTTTCTTTAATAGGTGATGATACCCTACTTTGATTATTCAGACTTTTTCTTTTCAGGATAGTAATCTTCTGTTGTCCACGCGTAGAGAAAGAAGCTGGAACTCTTGTACCTCTCGAAGTAGGAGAGGGCGTGTCAGTGATATCAGATATCTCAGTTTGATCATTACCTTGAACAGACGAATTAAGGCGAGATAGATGAGGATTCACTGATTTAAGTCTTTCAAGGGGTAAGAATAAACCTGTCATAGGGTGCTCTACCTCAAAGTATTGCTTACCATCTACAGCGCCTGAGTTTTTACCTCGTGAGGCTGCAATCGGTCCCACAAGTTCAATACCACCAAATATTCCAATTTTCCCATCAATTGGGCCATAGTATCTAAGTATACCATAACACCTAGTGCCAGGAATTGAAACCCTAGATCCTAATAAATCAACCATTTTTGATTGATCAGCGTAGTTTTAACTTCCTATTATCTATCGAAATTTTACTCTTTGTTTACACTCGCGAAAATAAAAATATTTATCATCATATTTAAAAATCGTAAACGCAGATCCACCATCAGGGAATCTTCATGGCTTCATATTTAAATCTACTAATCTTGGAGTCACCTTGGCGCTACGCAACTGATCGAATAATTTAAATTTAGCGGAAATTAAGACGCTGCTCTTTAAATCTTCCTTAGGATGTACTTCCGGTTGACTATCGGTGATATTAAGCGTGTTGACACTTTTCGCCAAATTGTCGATATTATATAGATGCTTGAGAACACGTTCGTTGATTTGAAAAATGACCTTCTCAATATTTGTAACTGAATCATAGGTGAAGGAGACTTTGGCTTTGATAGGCATCATCTTACTGAGAAGCGTTTTCTCCAAAGACTTAATGTTATGAAGTTTTTGGCGTAACTGCTTTTGCATTAATTGATTTTGCAAATCCAAGGGACGTTCGTTTAAAATAGGACGAGAGGAGTTATCTGCTAGCAATGCTAAATCACTTATCAATTTGTCTAAAAAGATTTTTTCTTCTTGATTTCTTTGAATTCTTTGCGTCAACTCCGTAAGACTAGAGTCGTGATTTCGTAACTCCTTCAAGTCGCTTTCAATATTTGACTTCTTATTGCCAGCTAATTCACTTAAATGTGGGGCAGATGAAAGTTTCCATGATTCTGGAAAAAAGAGAGACTCAGCAGAAAAAGTATCTCTCTCCGAAGGTGAGTGAGACGAAAGAAACTTGTTCAAAAGATCGACATTCTTCGATAGAATTGCTAAGTACCCAGTTGTGTTTTCAATTATTTCAACAATCTTTTGCTGCGTTTCACTAGCTGTAATTTTTGGTTGTGATGTAAACCCATCAAACTGTAGAAATCCACACAGGGTATGAGGTAATTCTTGGGCATCCTTTTCTTCCTCTAAATTTGTCTTGTCTTCACTCAATGGCGACATATCATTTTTACTTGCATAGTGAGTATCGAGATCGCTTGTATGTTTTTCAGGCACATTCAAAGAAGACGCCTTAGAATCATCTGAAAGTTTATTAACAAAAATTGGGCCACGCTGGTTCACAATTTCATTGGGAGGAGTAAAAACTGGTTTTTCAATATTCGTTCCACTCTCACTTATACCTGTCTCGTTTTCTTTACTTAGAATGTTACTTTCTGAATTTTTCTCTTCTATCTTTTCTTCCTTTTCTCCTTTTTCTCCTTTTTCTCCTTTTTCTTCGTCATCTTCTCTCCCATAACTTTCTCTCTCCTCATAGCTATGTTGATTCTCATCCAGCTCTTCTCCTTGGCCCAATTCTTCATTGCCAGGTTCAGAATCTCTCCTGCGTTCAATGTCACCGGTTTCTCGAGAACTTTCTTGTCCAATGTGATGCGATTTATTACTATCCACTGGTACATTAGACTTTTTGAGATATTCTGGGGAACTACCACTAGGAGAAGACTCTTCAGAATCCATAGTCTCGTTATCAGATGAATCCACATCATTAGAGCCAAAATTCAATGAGTCTTGCAAAGCTTCCCCAAAGTTATCAAAAGTAAGATCCTTGCTCACATCCTTAGACGAAATACTTTCATTCTTCAACGACCCTTCTTGTGAAATACTCAAATTATTTACATCTTGTAATGATCTCTCGGGCTCCTTTGCCTCTGAGACATTAGTACCATCATCATCAATGACATGATTCCCTCTTTGACTCAAAGCCGCAAACGGAGAGGACATCGAGTTTCTGTTTTTAAGGGCAGAAAATGGGGAGTTAGATCCATCCGCAGAAACCTGTGGATTAGAGTACTGTCCAAAAGTGCTGCTTCCAAAGCTAGAAGTACCAAAACCTGCGCTTTTCTTAGAAGTTTCATTTTCCGCACCCATCTGTTTAAACGTAGGCTTAGTTTCGTTGCTCTTCGATCCAAAGCTGGAAGAAATACCAAACTTGGATTGGAACCCAGTTTCGCCGAAACTGGACGAGCCAAAAGCTGCTGGTTCCTTGGGTTTTTGACCCAAATTGCTTTGACCAAATATAGAAGATCCGACCTCACTATGAACAGGGGTAGAAGAGAAACCAGTTTTCCCAAATTCGATTTTACTCCCTTCATTTTTTCTAGTTTCAGGCTCCAGTTGACGTTTCCCAAAGCCAGAAGAACCGAAACCAGATGAGCTGTTACCCCAAGACCCAACGGCTGACAGGCCAAACCCAGAAGAACCAAAGCCCGAAGAAGACCCAAAGCCCGAAGACCCAAAACCAGAACCAACTGCCGGAGATTCTTTGGAGTTTGACCGAATATCCTCCTTTGTAGAGCCCGAATTGCCACCATCGGATCCAACTTTTTTAGTATCAAGACTAGCATTTCCAAATACTGAAGAGCTATCATTAAAACTGGGAGCACTTTTTATGGAATGAGGGCCATCTTTGCCCAAATTACCGAATGGAGATGACATATTGAATGTGGATCTCCTATCATCAATCTCAACATTTGGTAATGATTCTTTGAACACAGATCCAGACTTCTCTGATACGTCATGTTCTTTGTCTGAGTTTATGGAGTTTATTTTATGGTTAAACACATTAGAGACAGAAGAACCAAAAGGATTTTCCACCAGGTTTGACTTCTCGAGAACGTCTACGGTTTTGTTACTTGAATCTTTGATTGCTGAAGTGGTTGATGAATCTCCAAGAGAAGATTTTGTAGCTCCCGATCTATTCATATTACTTTCCTCTGAAAATGCATGCAGTCTTGAGGCAACTGTCTTTATTAAATCCAAAGGCCGACTTAAAGTAAGCTTTTCATCCATGATGCATTTCTTATCAAAGACCCACCAACTCATTAACCTGCCAGTATGAGTCAAAGCCCATAAGCGTGGCAAGACCCCCTTAGCTTCCTCAACGCCATTACATGGACTCTTTACAATAGTTTCTGTACCAGTTAAGTCAATTGCAAAGCCAATAGAGGAAGCATCATCACCTGAGTTTTCATCAATAGGAAACTGTGCACGGTCTGTATCTTCGGCTTGGATCAAAGATACCAATTTTCGATCTTTTCCTATTAATATAGTACCCACATCCGTGGTCAAGGATGATGTCACAAAATAAAGGTCATTTTCAGGGATCCAATTTGACAAAAAAACGATATAATATGTGGATGCACGAGACGCAGAACCAAACGGAGGTGCAATATCAATCTCTTTTGCGCTCCCTTTGTCACTTTCATCTTTCTCTATAATAAAAGATCTGACATTGTGCTCATCTATGGCTATATTAGTTTGATCGTATACCACAAAAAAAGAATCAGAGTTTAATCTCTTTAAATATACCACCTTATATTCCAGTACTTCAAAATCTTCAAAATCTTCAAACGAAATTGGTATTTCACTTCGTTTATCTCCTGTCGGGGAATCGATAATTATATAGCTCTTAGCACCATACAAAATGTTTCCTTCAGAGTCCCAAGAGAAAGTGCATACTTCTTCATGAATTTTTCTTACCAAATTTCCTTGAACCACATAAAGATCCCTTTTGTCATTTAAAATTGCTAATGAATCTGATCTCAGAGGACAAGGCTGAAAACTTGCAACATTTCCTACATCTGATTCTTTCAAGACTTCGAGCTCCTTCAAGGATTTGGAGTTCTCTGGGCCAAATAAGTCAACAGTATCAATGTACTTCAAACTGTGATCTGATATAACAAGGACCTTTGCCTCTTCGCAATCAAAATATATTTGAGTTACGTATCCCACATTTTCAATGATATCGAACGATTGATCAGTATTATCCACATCTATAGCATCTATATTACCATACAGAATAGCAGATGTATTTGAACAAACGAAATAGCCTTTGATATTTGCAATTGCAAGCAATTGCAAGTCATCGACAATCGCCTTTTGTAAGTCAACACCATGTTCAAAGATTTTAAGGCCATGCTCTCTTGTTGAGAGCTTGAATCCCAAATCTTCGGAACTTAATTCCTCTAGTGTTGACATCTTGCGGATTTCAATCTCCCTTTAGTACCCTTTGAAATTATTGTTTTTCAGAACTAATGTTCAGTAGTCCAGAATGAAGAGCTTATGTACACACCAAAAATTGCTGAATATATTAATATATATATTGGCACAGGGCTAATGCTACTAGGGATTAGAGAATGATGGTTTGTTAGCGTCAAATATAACCATAATAGCCATGGATGCATATCCCAGCACAACTCTCCTATTTAAGTCCCGGACAAAAGTATCTCGTAAATCTTTATAAAAATTGGCTAGCCCATATTTCAACGATTTACGAAGTACCCCAGGATCACGCGGAGTTTTTCCTATATATCAGATAATCCGGCAAAATTTGTCAAAGGTAGCTTCTCCAGATTTTTTTTTTTTCGTTGTCTTTTTCATTTTTCTATTTCGTTGAAAGGGGTCTCGGTAAAAAGTACAGCAGTGGGATGTTTGGGGCTCCATTTGGAAGACCCAGAGGGCAGTCTAATGCTCCTAGTCAATTTAAGGAACTGGCAAGGAATGCTATTTATCAACAGCTTCCTCCACTGATGATGTCCGGGGTCACTTCGATTAGGTCTGCTCCTTCACAAGTTCAATACAATAAACAACATCAGCTGCATAAGTCACTGTCATCTAGCATTTTCTCAAATAACAAGCGATCTGTCAGATCTGCTCCTTCAATATATTCAAGTTCAACCGCTACTATACCCGAGGACTCAGAACCAGTGTCGACTACTGTTGAGCAGTTGGTAAACGACATTGCGTTGCATGAGAAGTTTTATTTAGAGCAGAGCTCAGAAATGGGAACCATAGCTAACAATAGTGAGATGGATGTCGGAGAGCTATATAAAATATCTTTGGGGTCTGAGCTACAGTATCAAAATATTCCTGAATCCTTGGTAGACTGGAACTTGAATGTCACTAGGTGTAAGTTAATAATTACGCTGTTGCCTTCAGTCTCAGCAATCCCAGAGCTAAGTTACTCATCAAGCTCTCTTCCTCAATTAGTTGGAGATTTGGCAAATATATGCCATATTGTTTTAATTCAACCACATATTACAGATACTGAATTGATTTACACGTTATTCTCGTCAAACTTATACCAGGAGCATAATCTCGACTTTCATTTTAAAAGATCTGTTGCTGAAGTTTCCGTCAAGCAATCGAGGCTCTTGCAGATTAATTCCACGCGAAGGGACAGTACAACCCCAATAACGTCTGGGGAACAATCATTTTTGAAGTTCAAATTCAAAGAAATTGCTGTGCGAAACTATTTGATTAACTTGGCTACTGCTGCAACAACAGCTTATGAATACAAGCAGAAAACTGATTCTATTAAGAAGTCTTTAAAACGGGCAGATGGACCAAGAGTAAAACTTTCGAAGGATGAGAAAAAGAGACTATGGGACGAAGTTAGACTGGAAGTCTTTAGAAGAGCCGGCTTAGAAGAAAATTAATACTTTATATCAGTCAGTTGTAAGTTCCAATAACCCGATTCTACAACTCAAGAGCTTAATTTTGGTTTTTAGTTCAAATGTTTATTAATACACACAATCAACGTGCGAAAATGCAAAAATATATAGAGTCGATTAATCAAAACTTCTTTCTCTTGTCTCTTAATTTCTTGTAATGAGCCTTACCACCGCTTGTTTTGTTCTGTTGTATTTCTGAGTATTTCCTCTTGAAATACTTCTTGGAGTCATCATCATTCAATATCTCCTCCACCAAATTGTTTCCCCTATCTTTATTAGATAACCTTGACGAATAGAACTCTGTGTTGCCTTCAATAATGGTTCCCATTTGAAAAAATTTTGAAATTTCCATTTTGTCTTTTTTATAATGCCTCTTTGGATCTAATGCTCCTCTTTGTTTAATAAGAGTTAGGTCTCTTTTCATACTGGGCGTGATCTCAGGCTCCTTAATGTTGAACCATTTGTCTCCCGCGTCTTGTTCCTGTTTCTTCTTGGGAACCTTAAGCTGAATAGGATCATGAAGCTTTAGGATACTTTTGGTGCTATCATTCTGGGAGACTCTTTTCTCTAAGTTCCTTTCCAAATTTGATTCAATTTTAGGTAGTCTTGATAAAGATGCCTTTACTTCCTCCAAATCATCTGCCTTTAATTTGTCTGATTGACTTCCTTTGACCTCTTCCGACAACTGATCAAAAAATCTTTCCAAGGATACTGAAGTATCAGTATATTGCTTTCGAATGTGGCTCTGGTCAGACGACTGAGACTCAGTTCCCGATATGAGCTCAGTTTCCGAAGTCTCTACGACCCCTGGCTCATTATATCTATGAGGTGCCATTTTAAACTTCTTGACTTTAGAATCTTTTATTCACTAGACTGTACAATATGAGATGAGCTTTACCAGTACGTAAAATAACCAATATAGCGCAAAATAAAATAAAAATATTTGTATTTATATGCAGAATTATTCTTTACTTAATGAAACCAAAAGCAATCTATGTCCCGCCCAGAGTCCTTATGATCCAAGCAAGCTAAAAAGTATGTTTCACAGAGGTTGATGGTAAATGAAAAATATATTCTTTTATCTAAAAACTAAAAATTTTACAAACTATGACATTAACAAGATAGAACTTTCTCTATAAATCGAGTGTATATTCTCTTAGTTGGGGATATTAATTCCTCTTATCATGGATTGACTGGATCGTAAATTAAACCGTAAGTTGCATGATATAGAACTATAAGTCATTAATATCGAGCAATGACATAAACTGCATGTATGATACCAGGAATATATCCTAAACACGTTAAAATAATATTGATGAAAAGCGAGCTCGAGCAACCTCTCTCTAAAAACACACCAAGTGGTGGAAGAATAACTGCTGCAACTAGCTTAATGAGATCTGAACATGTAAGAGCCATTTTTTTTATAATCTTTGTATAATGGTTTAATACAATCTCTTTTGCAACGATTGAAGTTGCCTTTAAATAGTCATGGTCTGAAAAGACAAAGTTGATAATTTGCTCAGCCACTCATTTAACGACAACAGAACCGGTCATTCTATTATTTTCGCGAGCGCAGGGGACGATCTCTCTCTAGCAATTCAAATTGCAAAATCAGTGGTCGTTGTGCTCTAATAGGTCACACTTTACCAGGAGGTCGGCTTCAGCCTCATAGCATTCCTGATGTCCTTTATACAATGTAGCATTATTGCTATATTTACGCGAGAGCTTGCTACGACGACCTTTTCTTAGGTCGCGGGGTGGCATGTAACACAGCTACAGTGATCATCTGCATATATATTTTCTATTCTTTGTTGTTGCTTAAGCAAGTCTAGTTGGATTCTGTTTTGCGTCTAAATATTGCCGTTGCTACATAATCTCTTGAAGGAAATGAATCAGAAAATACTTTGCTACTATCCCAATCTTTCTCGAGCAACATGTGGGTATAACAAATACCGAGGCGATCAAACTTAGCGTAAAAAGTGACACCATATATCTGGAAAAAAATTTGGAAATTACACAAACGTATCTTTGAGTCAAAAATGATTCATAATTTAATATAGCGATATCGACGCTAAGCAACATCGAGGGTCATAAATATACTACTTTTCAAGTAATATCCTATAGCATGTCGGACTTGCAATTGAGGATTTTAAAGGCGGTGGACCAATATGATGGAATAGAAAATACGTTGCATACCAAGGATTTTGGTGGTATCGATGCAAACACTTTACATTCTAGCTTGACGTCTCTCTGGGCCAAGAATATGGTCGATTTTAAAAAGATTGAAACCGATAAATGGATTTTAAGTAAAGAAGCGGAAGGCTTTTTGTCGGATGGCTCCCCTGAGGTTAGAGTTGTAGAAGAAGTTTTGAACTCGTTGAGCGCATTGACGATCAATGATTTGAAAACAAAATTGGGCCCTGCCGGTGCAGTCGGACAAGGTAAAGCATTCAAAAATCAGTGGTTAGGTAAAGAAGGCGATAAGCTTGTCGCAAAGGTCTCAAAAGTTCCAGAAGATGTAGTTGTTAAGGAATTGAAAACTATCAAAGAAACCGGTACTTTACCAGATAAGAAAGCATTATCTGAATTGAAGAAAAGAAAATTAATTTCTTTAACAAAGATAGTTGGATATAAAGTTGATAAAGGGGAGAAATTTGCCTTAGAGATCAAGAGTTACGAAGCAGACATCACATCTGAAATGGTATCTACAGGATCGTGGAAAGATGTTGAATTCAAGCCATATAATTTCAATTCTGAAGGTATATACCCAAATGCTGGCGCCTTGCACCCTCTTAATAAGATAAGAGAAGAATTCAGACAGATTTTTTTCTCTATGGGATTCACAGAAATGCCTTCCAATAAATATGTTGAAACTGGATTCTGGAATTTCGATGCCTTGTTTGTCCCACAACAGCACCCAGCGCGTGACTTACAGGATACTTTTTATATAAAAGATCCCGCAAGAGGGAAGATGCAAGAAGATAATGAATATCTTGAGAATATAAAGAGCGTTCATCAGGGCGGTAAATTTGGCTCAATTGGTTATAGGTATCCATGGAAAGAAGAGGAGTCTTTAAAGATGGTTTTACGAACTCACACAACTGCTATTTCCGCCAACATGTTGAAAGAATTGGCCAAAAATCCAAAACCTTCCAGGTTATTTTCAATTGATAAAGTTTTCCGTAACGAGGCAGTTGATGCGACGCATTTAGCCGAGTTCAGCCAGGTTGAAGGTGTGTTAGCTGGTTATGATATCACTCTTGGTGACTTAATTGGCTTCATGGACGATTTTTTCTCAAAGATGGGTGTTCACAACTTGAGATTTAAAGCAGCTTATAATCCATATACGGAACCATCTATGGAAATCTTTGCCTACCACAATGAGTTGAAAAAGTGGGTGGAAATTGGTAATTCTGGTATGTTTAGACCAGAAATGTTGGAACCCATGGGTTTGCCGAAAGATTTGAGAGTTTTGGGCTGGGGGTTGTCATTAGAAAGACCAACTATGATCAAATATGGTGTTTCAAACATCAGAAAGCTAGTTGGTCATAAAGTCTCATTGGACTTTATTGAAACCAACCCTGCCGCTAGATTGGACGAGGACTTAGTTTAGTACCTGTATAGACATTAATATATCTTCTAAATATTTTAGCATGTCACATTGAAGTGACCATCCTTAGACTTAAATCTCGCGTTTGAAATTTTTCGAAGCTGGCAGTCTCATTTTTCGCTCTACATCAATTGAAAGTATTGTGAGAAAAGTAGCGAATGAGTGATTATCTTTCATAACTTGTGACTTTTCAACTTAATCTAGAGGGATTAACCTACTACTATTTGTAAATTGACTCCAAAATGTCGAGTACTGAAGAAGATATATCGAGTAATATTACAGCCTCTAACGAAGCTAATAAACAAGAACAATCTACAATAAAACTGGAAATTAATCGAGATATAGAAAAAGAAAGTCTTTTAAACGACGTGAGCGAGAGGGAAAGTAATATAGATGACTCACAAGGTGATTATCGTTGCAAATGGTCTGGGTGCGATAGAAGGAATTATCCTACATTAACTGCATTAGTGGAGCACTTGAATACTAAGCATTTAGCACATATGGCACATCTTACTCCTACAACTCCGATTCGTTATACATGCCAGTGGGAGGGCTGTCCAAGGTATGGTATTGAGCAGCCGTCTCGATTCGCACTTATATCACATTGCCGTACCCATACAGGGGAGAAACCATATTTTTGCCCAATACCAGAATGTGAAAAACATTTTACAAGATCAGACGCTTTAGCAAAACACGTCAAAGGGGTTCATGACTTACATCTGGCTAAGGATGCGTTGACTCTCATAAAAGATAAAGTGAGGCAAAACAAAATGGAGCCTTTTGTAAACAACCAAAATGAAATGTCAGAAAAGGAATATTTGAATTTAGTTGAGGAGGATTACGAATCAAAGAACCCTTGGTGGTTTTCTCAGGACTTTATTGATATCTTGAAAGAGGAAGATGCCACTTTGAGTACTGTTAATAGTATGCCTCTCAACACCAGGCAGTACAAGATGGCCCACAAAAGATATCAAAACTTTTCCAAGCTTGAAGACACCGAAAATGATATAGATGACATAGAGGATTTGGAAGAGCTAAATCAGGTTTATGTTAGCTTGAGACAGAAATTAAATACAGCAAAAAAGATAAACAAAATAGCGACGAATCTGTTGCGAGATGCCGTAAAGGAAAAAAGAAGACTCTGGCTTATAAATCAGGCCCTTTTGGATGCCAACGTAGTACTTGGGTTACCCGATGGCATCAACGATGGAAACACAAAAGACCACAAAGTTCATTACGATAAGACAGATGAGGAGCTTTTGAACGAACCGGGAATACGTGGAAATTAAGCACAAAAGAGTTATATTTCATTCCCCCCGATTGCGAATTTTCTTATAAAAACATAGTCACCGAATTAACTCCTTGTAAAAGTACACCGATGTAATCATTTCTACGCTTGTATTGTACTCCTTTTCGTTGAGCGAAACTCGGATGTATTACTACTCCCGAAAATGGAACTTTGACGCAGAAAGCACCTTCTGCAGTGTTAAAGATCTATCCCAAGCCTTATGAAATCTCATATGCGTGAAGTTGCAGTATCTAAAAGAATATCGTAGCGTGCTTTCCTAGCAGCAGTACTTTCAAATAATTAGATAAGAATTAGAGAAGGTGCGGGGCGAATAATAATATCAATGTCCACAGACCAGGCCATAGCGAGGCAACGAATTGTGGAGTACACAAAGAAGCTCGTGAAGACCAAAAAAGGTCTCCTAGGTTTTCTTTCAGTATTTCTTTTCTACGGCTTTATTTCCGTAAATCCTTGCCCTCTGTGTTAAAGAGATAACATTTTTGTAGTCGTCAAACGACTCGGGGGAGTGCTTGTGTCAATTTCACCTGTCAGTACCTTTAAAAGAAAACGCTTTGGACAATGCGATTTAAGGATTACGCAGGACCAAATTTGATTGGCAAACGTCTGGGAAGTGTTTAGCACATATCGCCAAAACTACCGAATTGAGAATAATTAATAGAATTTAACCTGATAGAGACACATAGAAATAGTGTCGAAAACTGGCGACCGAATAACTCATGTTATTTTTTGTATCACGTTCTGACAAATCATCGTTCAAATGCATTGACCTATTTAGACTAGGCATAAAGGGGTTTCTTTTTTTTCATTTCAGAATAGGTTAAAACTACGGTGTGGCGGCTCAATTATTATAGGTCTTTTTCTTTTTTTCTTGAGTATATAGATTACCACATCCACTTGGCAAAATATATGTTTCTCTTAGTTACGAGAGTTAGATAACACTGGATATTATTTTATATTTGTTGGTTCAAAATTTTGCAATTCATTTATTTATTAAGATAAACTAATCGACTACTCTGTATGTCAGATAGTTTGCTCTTGGAAGCACAATAGTTATACCCTATAATGCAATCATTAAATATAGAAGATTTTTTGGAAGAGTTTGATGTTCGTTACATGGAATCTTACAATCAAGTGGTAAATGGTACCGGAGGGGTATCTCTTCATGACATGCATAAGGACATAAGTTCAATACCATTGACTGGTGATCCAAAGACTTACGATGAAGAGCAAAAATCGACTTTATCTTCTCCTTTACTTGGGAGCACCTCAACCTTTACTCAGAGCGAAAGCTTCCTCTTAGAACCTAGTTTCACTTCGAAAGATGATAATTATACCCAAAGTTTGTCAAATATGCGGCCACCGTTGAAGCCATCTGTGACAATTGCTTCCATAAATACTATTGCAAAATTCCAGCGCAATAAGCTTGTCAAACGTTCAAATGTGGTTGACACGAATTTTTCAGAAAGATCTGTACTAAGAAGAAGACACTCTGTTCCTTCAAAATGTGTTGGTAATCCTTTCTACAAGCGAAACAGACACCTGTCAACTTCATCTGTACCTATTCAAACATCTGTCAGATCCGACTTAGATGCTTCGCCTACCCAATGCATGGGGGTATCCTGCCAGCAGAAAAGACGAAAGCCATCTCAGGATTTACATTTGAATCTGAATCGACGTTACTCAGCTGGCTCTGATGTTTCATCTGTTGATTCATATTTTTCTTTAGTGCAAGACTCTGATGATTCTCATTACGAAATTAAATCTTTCAAGAATATTCTCCTGGATGAATAATACGTCAAGACTGAAATTGAACTGACTGATATCGTTATAATATAATTAAAGTCGAAAGATGCTTATACACCCTTATCATATATGCATTATGCAACTTTCGTGTAGATCAAACCGCTATATTTCACCTATTAGAGGACTTAAAGCCATCGGTAGTAATTCTGCAGCATCTCCTTTGAAGCCCCATGTGTCTTTCACATTACCCTCCAAAACTTCGGGCTCAATATCAGTATTGAATATCGCAACTTTTCCTCCTTTAAGTCGAACTCTGTCGACATAACTATTGGCAGGATACACAGTGCCACTGGTTCCTATCACCATTATCAAGTCTACTCCTTCGTCCAGCTCTATGAAATTATCGATTTTATCTAGCGTAGTCAATGATAAGGATTCCCCGAACCAAACAACGCCTGGACGTAGTAGAGAACCATCTTTACAAACAGGACACTGTGGGAGATCCTTGTCTAAAATCTGCTTGACAGGCGCTATTTGAGGAGACAAATTATCTGTATCCTCTTCTAAGTTTCGTTTTCTGCTTCTATCGTATTCAAATTCTGTATCAGACAAAGCAGCTGTTAAAGGATGCTTAAAGTTATCATGGTCAACGAAGTTGCACAAAAAACTTGTACATCTGAGGTCAAATAGTGAACCGTGAATCTCGTACAATTTATCCTTCCTATGGCCAGCTCTTGTCAGTAGCCCATCAGTATTTTGAGTAATTGTAATAAAGTCAATATTTTTTAGTTTTGATAGTCTGGCTAAAGACAAATGGCCCTTATTTGGCTTTGCCTTTAATGCATTAATTCTTCTCCATGAATAAAACTGCCAAACTAAGCCTGGGTCTATATAAAATGCATCGGGTGTGGCCAAATCAATCATATTGAAGTTCTTCCATAGCCCTTGTGATCCTCTAAAAATTGGCAATCCAGAAGAAGTTGATAATCCAGCTCCCACCAAGGCAACTATTCTTTTAGAATTCTTCAAGTGATCTTGGAATTCAACTAAATTCTTGCTCATTTCTGGGTGGAATTAACATATTTATTAAATATTTCACTAAAATTTTATGCGAGATGAAACATATTATATTTACTAATATAAAATCTATGTACTCAGATTCTTTAATTTCCAAGCAACGTATTGAGCAGAGTGACCTAAAATAATGCTACCATCCGAAACTACTCTGTTGTTCACTAGTAGAGGTGGAGCTCTGTACCAAACGAGTTCATTTATCTCTTCTGAATCCTCCAACCTTCTCTTTCGAAGGTTGAAGCCATCACTAATTTCACTCAACTTATTATCCTCATCTGCTAAGGTGTAGGAAAGCACACCTCCATTGATTAAAGTGGAATATGCAGATGTAGATGTATGATAAGAGGCACCAGTTTGAGACATTATAGCGCCACCCGAGGTAGGGGTGTGAGCTCTTTTCACAGAAGGAGTATGTTGCCTTGATTGCTGGTAATGTTGAACCTGTTGCTGCTGTTGTTGCAAGAGCTGTCTGTATCTTGTCACGCTAGAATTATATGACTTATCCTCAATATCAGGATTACTTGAGTTCATTATGGAATAGGACATGTTCAGACCCCCGCCAAATTTTAGTTGCAGTACCGGAGTAAACAAAAATGCTCTACGATTATTGACTCTATCGTCATTCTCAGGGCTAGCGGTAACATTAGGACTCGAGATGTATTGACCCAATTCATCCTCTTCACTGGGAGGTCTCAAATACACCAGTCCCACAATTGGTGGGCTATTCGCATTGGGTCCTGGAGTTGGCTCAGGGATAGGCATATTAATGTCAGCTCCTGCTGGTAAGAGATCTTTGATTGGGGATTCATACTTGATTAGCTTACGTGGCTCCGATAATGGAACTAAAGGCTGCTCCGATTTATCTCTAATCTCGTCTGGCAAACATGCTTTCCAAGTCCTAATACGGTTGAATATATGACTGTTTTCATTATACCTGAACTCGCATATGAACCAAGGACAACCTTCTGCGATTACTCCTTCAGGAAGATCTCCCTTTTGATATCGCGTCAAAAATATGACATAACATGGCCCCACTATTTCGGAAGCTAAATGATCACGATATTGCCCAGTTTTACACACCTCATTAATGAAAAATAAGCGATCAAATTTATGGCATGTTTGCTCTGGGCGATAATACCAACATACATTCGTATACTTAGTTCCATCTTCGGTCGACCACAAGCGGAAAATCTGACCAACCGTTGGTTTGCTTGGTTCATTCGCATTATTAATTAAAACCCAATCTCCAATTCGATACGAGTATCCATTAACTTCTATTGAGTCTAACGGAATTCTAATTATTCCATCATTTCCAGAAGTATTTGAAACCAATAAATCTTTCTCGCTTCTTTTTAACTCTTGCTCAATGATATGGTTCGTTTCACTTTCAAATGTTAAGCAATCTCTCAAAACCTCTGAATATTGGTCATTAGAGTAATACAACTTAGTGTTTTGAAACATCAAGCTCAAGTCAGCTAAAAAAAGATTGACGTTCGAGTATTTTCTTGTTCTTACCTTTGCTCGGATCTCATTTAAACTGATAGGATTTGCAACTACATGATAATAATTAGGAAGTACCCTTTGATCCGGCAATCTATCGAAATGTGTCGTTAATGGGTGACTGGGGTTGTTTGGATCACGTAACTTCTTCATTTGCTTTAAAATCAACTTTATACGAGTTTCAAAAGGCTTATCAATAATCGGAGGACGACCTCTCCTAATCCCTGTCTCTAAATGCTGTTTTGCCTGAAACGGGGACGTTGAATTATCACGTAACCTATTCGTTAGCAAATTATTAGCCATTAGTGCCTTGTAGTGATGATCCGTAGGAGCAGGATTTGTTGTTCTAGATGAATAATCATCATAATCATCCTCTTCTTCTTCTTCTTCTTCAAATCCGTTTTCCTGAATGGGTCGGTCTTCCTCAGGTAATGGACCTAAATCAGGATAATAAAGATATTGATGATTAACAATAGCCTTGTCGTTTTGCAATTTAGGGATAACCTTATCTGTAATGTAGTGGTCTAAAATTAAAGCCTCATTGTATATTTTAGATCCTTTGACATTATACAACCTCGCATTCCAGGTGATCTGGGCCAACTGATTAATAAAGTCTTGCGCATTGTCGAACCCAGATTTTTTTATAGTTCTGCCTATTCCATGAAGGGAAACAGGGTTTAATACTATTTTGTAGTAGTCAGTACCTGTTCGTAAAGGTAATCTTTGAAACGTTTCACTAATCTTTTGACCACTTCCATCAGTCAACTCATATATTCCCTCAAACAAGGCATTTAATCTTGTGGATAGTTTTTTGCGCTCTCTATCTGAAGACATTATTTAATTTAATTTGATTTGTTCTCTAAAAACAGTGTGAAATCGTATGTTATTTTCATCCATAATTCAGTTTGACGTTCATTTCAAATCCTGCATATAATATGGTGTTTTTCTGAAGGATTGAGCTACACTGTTTTGAATCGCTATTGTTAAATTATTAATTTAGGGTATATACATCATTGAGTACTGCTTTCCAACTATAATATCGGTACTATATCACTTATGCGCTAGGATTACCAAAAATACCCCAATATTGCTCAACGTCCATGTCACCTGGGTCTTTCCAGTAGTCATTATACATAGTGAAAAGTAAAGTTTGATCACCAACCTTGCTTACGATATCTTTTATTGCAGCCAATTGATTTGCTTCCGATGGGACACATTTTCCATTTGTTTGCCCCTCAGTTGGCCAGCCGGTCTCAGTAATGAAAATTTCTTTACCGTTATTGCAAGTGCTCTTCAAATCTGAAATTTGCTGTTCAAGCCAAGTTCCAGAATTTGAAGGTAACACACTACCATCCCAATAAGGATGGCAGTTCACCGTTAAATAATCTGAAGCGTCACATAAATCGGTGTTGTCCATGACAGCGACAAGTGTATCGACAGTCACTACTTTCCCTGAAAAATCAGCTGCATTTGCCTTGAGCCACTTCCTCGCATTTTGAACAGCTGTGACTACTTCCGAAACTGAAGATAAGCCAGAATTAACTCTCTCGTTTCCTATTGATATGGTGTGAACAGCATCCCAACCCTCAGAAGAGGACTCTACGGCTTCTTTCATTGTTTGTAAATCAGTCGTGAGATCATTATAATCAATATTCCACACTCCTAAGAAAAGTTTAGCGCCAGATGGTAGAGCCGCCAAAACGTTGTTTATACCGGAGCAATCCACGCTATAGAGCCTAATCATTCCAACGCCAGATAATTTTTCCATATCACTCTTGACTTCACTGGCTGTTTTGCAGGAACCACTTTCTGTATAAGGGGAGTAGGTGATACCTGCAGAATTGGGAACATAAATGCTAGCTCCGGAGCTCGATCCCGAACTACTGGGAGTTGAACCTGAGGAACCAGTAGAAGTTTCTGTATCTGACGTAGTAGTATATGCATTGGGAATCGACGCTGATGTAATTGAAGTTGTATAGGCTATATCTGTGGCTTCTGTGGTATCTGAACCAGCCCCAGTAGCGGCGCTCGATGCAGTTAAACTCGTCGTAGTAAGGCTGCTGCTAGACGATCCCCCATCATCACTTCCCCAGCCAAGCAACTGAGCCCAAAATGATCTCAAATTCTCAGATGTTTTGGTAGTGCTAGGGCTTGAGGTACTGACAGCTTCTGTAGCAGCTTCCGTGGTGCTCGTTGTACTGAAAGTGGAGGGAACAACTTCTGTAGTGCTCGAAGTAGGTGTTCCTATCAAGCCTTCCAAAAAGGCCGCTAAATCCATATTAACTGTAGTAACTTGCGTCACGTACTGTACATTTCTCTTGAAATTACGTGATCCTTCAAGTTCACTGGCCGAAACTATACTGCCAGCTATAGCCCAGGGCATTAAAGTATTTAATATTCTCATTATTGGAAAGAAGAATTAAAGTGTTGAGATAAATAAACCTAATAACAAAACAACTTTTGAAGGAACTGAATTCTAAAGTCTTTTTAAAACTAGAGCCCGACCTAGCGCCTGACTAGAGTATCGTTTTTGAATGGTGTAAAATTTTGGAATTAAAATTTTCTTGCCTAGTATTTCGCTTCTTTTGAATAAATCGATCAGAATCGAAATAAATGTTAAGGAAAGGATCTCTTAAGTTCTTATGCTTTAATTAGCTTGATGTTTCAAAAGAAAAGTCTTTGGCGAGTAATTCTGCTCTTATAAGAAACTACCTTTATCATATATGGCACGCCATATATGTTGACACATGAGCATCATACTGCTTCTTTTCCTATTCGGGCTATTGAGAAATTTGCAACTGTTCATCTTAGGAACAGTTTTCTCATCAAAATTCCTAATCGGGTAATTTGAATAGATCTTATTTTCTACTTTTCTCTTAATTGTTTAACGTACTGAAGCGAACAGTCCCTATTTAGGTATACGGTAGATATAAGAGAGTAGGCTTATTGTGGGGGGAACTTCCAAGAACTGAGAAAACTTAAGTGATTAAACCTAGGTCAAGGCGAGACTTTGGGAGCATGAGATTCAAAATCATTTTTTAAGGGGGGCTCAAGTGTGACGTCTTGCGGAAAAAAGCTCAAGAAACGCATAGTTACGGGTAAGTTGTGGGGGAGCCAACTAGATCACCACATAGAGACAATCCTTTATTTGAATGGTGAATGGTGGGGCAAGCAAGGTAAAGAACGAGCGCAAGGCTTTGAAAAATGAATACTAGGAGTGAGAGTTACGGGGAGGAGAGAGTTCCTAGTACCTTGACTCATGTGATGCATACCATGTAATAATGATGATCTCTCCAAGCTAAGTTAAAAATTTGGCGCCGGCATTCCTCGTAGCAGCTTCAAATGCCGGAAGTTTCTTAATAGCTTAGATTGATTTGAAGCTCCGAAACCCATTCGATTGTCTTAGTATACGATTGCATAAGTACTTGAATATATTAAGGGGCTAGTCTAATTGTATGCCTATATGCCTATACCCGAATCTGTCTTCAAAATCAGCAATTTACCATGAAAATTCATTTTTGGGTACACTTCTCTTCTTTCTTATGAACTCTAAATGATGGTCTATGACTACTTCAGTGCAATAAATTAATTAAACTAACGGAATAGCTTTAATATAAACCAAAAGCAGGTGAACATTAATAGAATTCCACCCCAAAAGAGCCATCTATCTTGCTTTGCTCTTTTTTCAATAGACCTAATTGTACTTTGACTAACACCCAATGTTACCAAACTTTCTTCAAATCGTACTTGGAGCCTCCGTAATGTTTCGTTCTGATCTACTATATCCTCGAATGCTTGTTGACCCATCTCTAAGATATGATCGAGTTGCTGAGTCCCTCGCGAGAGCGATTGCTTTTCATTATAAAGCCCTTCTTCATACGACATATATTGCTGAGCCTGTTCTTGACTTTGCTGTTGATCAAATGGATTATCAGATGCAATGCTATTATCATTTTGGCTACTATGGTGTCGACGGCCCATTAATTCTTGTCTATTGGAAGTGTGAACCAATGCATCTCTTTGTCTCTTTAATGATTCAAATTTTTCTGTGAAATCAATTAAGTCCTGATTGAATTTGGCCGCTCTTATTTCTTGCTTCCCATTGTTCTCATCTCTTTTACTCTGCTCCACTAAGTCACTAAATTCTTTCACAGTTCTCTTGAATGCTGTTAACGATGTAGTAATAGATCCTTGCAATGACAAGGGGGAAGTGGATAAATTCTTCTCAAATTGCGATAAATCCTTCGTTATAAGTTGCTGTTGCTTAATGCCATGGTTATACAACGAATTCATCACGTAACAACATTTGGAAGACACAGTGTTCTGTTTACTTTTAAGACATCATAATAATAGCAAAATTCCGCCGTATATTACACAAAATAAAAACCATTATTGTTACTATAGATGCTAATCTTTATTATTACTACAATACATCTTCTATCAACTTAATTGGTTTCAAGATAAAATATCAGAACAGGAAACTCAGTAGCAGTAACATTTCTATATTTGTATTCTTTGACTACCTTCAACATTTATAAAATTAGCCGAAAAACCTGACGAATGCTAACATAAGCGCAAACGTACCAGACGACACACCGATTAACCACTGAGTAACTTGAGTTTTGACAGATTTAATCTGCATCTGCATATTTGCTATTTCTTCATCTATCCTTGTATACGTATCTTCAATTTTCAGCTCATGCTTTGAACTTTCTTCCCTAATCCTCCCTTTCTCCAAATTTAAATCCAATCGTACGCCAGCTTGGCTCTTTGTTATTTCTTCTTTGAGCCTATTTTTTAGATTCGTGAGATCAGTTCTGAGCTTTTCTTGTTCTTTCTTTAAATTCGTAAATTCAGACTTATCCATCGTTTGAAGTTCTCCTTTTAGCTTTGCAAAATCTACCTTTTGTTGATATGCTATTGATGACAAGGTTTCCTTAGTTACGAGGTTGTTTGTTATAGATGATATTCCATCATTAATAGCCATATTAACTATCTTGACAGCCGTTTCAGCCTGTTTCTGAGTGAATCCTCCCTGGGATTCCAAAGATTGTACGAATTTCTTAGTATCAAATTTAGTTAGTGAACTTGAATGTCTCACTCTCATAGCACATGAAGACCTTGAAGTAATCTTTAGTATAGAAAAGGGGATTATATAATGCATTTTTGATTCTTGTAAAGATATCAAGTTGTTACCACTAAATTTTTGTATGACACTCATAATATATTGAAAGGATTGCTACACAAAGTTATTTTATTCCATAAGAAAAAGAATGCTAACTAAAATGAGTACCATAAGGTGGTTTAAGCTCGTAGCATCTGTTAAAACAAGGAATGCTATTCCGATTTCTAACTTTTCGGGAAGTTTTCAAAGATTCTATAGCAACGACAAGAAATATAGATCTATCGATGACTTCAATAAACACAAGAAACAGTATATCTTTGGGATTGAAGATAGCTCCATCGATAATACTAATGAGAAATTCGATCTGCTGAAGGCAGGCCAACTAGATACATCAGAGATACATGAAAAAATTGCAAAGTTTGAAAATCCGGATCAAGAAGATATAAATCGTATCATCGAAAATGATCCTAGGCTAATTGATTTAAAACCAGGATCTGCGGATTATAAGCAACAAATGCATATTGTACACCATGAATACCAGAAGAATAGAGAAAAGAATAAAAAGTGGTACGAAACCTTTGAGAGACTCAAGGGAATTGGTATTGGAGCTCTTGCGTTGATATCTATTGTTGCTGCCCATCAGGTAATCATCAATTATGAGTCAATCAAAAGTAGAGCGCTCCATAAGTTCAAGTACGATTTGGACGACTCTAAGGTTAGCGATAATTCGCAGAAACATACGAAGGGCACTGAGTTTTTAATCAAAAAATTGTCCACACAGCTAGATTCTGACTTTGTAAAAAATCTTGAATCATCGACCGAAGTTTCTGGTTTATATTTGTTTGGTAAAGATAGCAAATTGCCTAAGAGAGTGAGCTATTTCAATGGGATGCTAATAAAAGACGTCGTAATTGCGGGTGACTACTTGCTCGCTGTTGATGAGAAAGGAAAGGTCCATGAATATTTCCATGATGTACCAAAGGAGTTAAAACTACCTTACAAAATTGAAAAATGTCAAATCAGCACAGATTTCGTATACTTATTAACTAATGGGGGAGATATTATTTACTTCCCCCGTGGTGATAAAAAGGTATCGTATTTCGAACCCTTGAAATATAGGAGTTGGCTAGGTTATTCAAAAGAATCTTTCTTTAACAAAATTGAGCGTGAGAATCAAATAACTGACATTTCCTGTGGTGAAAATCATTTGCTCATGCTTGATAAGAAGAGTAAGGTTTTCGTAATGAAAACTTCTCAAGAATCTTCAAATTACGGTCAGTACGGTATTCCAAAATTTTATCCAGTTGATTTAGAAATGCCTACTAATATACCAATTGAGCTACAATTATTGAACTATGAATTGATAAGCGAAAACGGTTCGAAGAGTCTCAGACGTCGAATGATTAAAAGCATTGCTTGTGGAAGGAATCACAATATAGTTGCAGATAAAGAGGGCAATATTTGGACTTGGGGAAGAAATTCATTCGGAGAGTGTGGATATGAAGTTGGTTATAAGATTGATTGTCAGCCTTTTCCAAAAATTGCATTAAATAAAGATGACATGATTCAAGTGATAAAGAATGCGGTACCCTTGAAGTCTCATATAATCGATGTAAAGAATGTCTTTGCACTGAATGAAACATCTTACGTAGAAGCCCAAGTGATTCCCTCAGATAAGTCTTCTTCGGATTCAGAGACTGTATTGCTAAGTTTCGGTAATGGATTGAAAGGGCAGCTCGGTATTAACCGATTTTTACATGTTTGTCCGAGTCCAAATGTCTTGAAGTCGTTGCTTAATTTGACAGAATACAATGAAAGAGAACAATCAGTCGAACACATTGGTATCAGAGATGTGAGTGTAGGAAACAATCATGTGTTTATCACCTTAAATAATTTAGGGGACAAGAAGGACGTCTTAGCATTTGGTGATAACGAATTCGGCCAATTGGGAAATGGAAAGACCGCTAAAAGTAGTAAACCCAGTCCATTGCCGACGTTAGTGGAACCCGAAGATTTAGAAAGTTGGGATTTCAAATCGAAGAAGAAATTAGCAAAGAAGATTGATGACCCTGTTACTAATAGGTTGCAGTTACTTGACGGTTGTATCCTCCCCAATGGAAGAATTGAACAAGTTATAGTTGCTGGAGAGAATAGGTCAGCAATATTTTACAAACTGAAATAAAGTTTTCTGTATATATTAAAATGAAATTATAAAAATCAAAAAAGCTACAGAACAAACGATTATAATTCTTAATTCAACTTGAAAATTTCATTCAAGATTCTAATTGTATCTTCTGGAGAGTTGACAGCATGTCCGATAGTTCTCTTGTCGTTGTAAATCTCGTAATCGTTACCTCCCTTGTAAGATTTATCACCAAAAAAATGTATTTCTGAGAACCCTTCTCCTTCAACGTGTTGCAAACAATAGGTTTTATCCCAACCAGTAGGGAAGACATCAAAAGAGATCTGCCCTCCGATCGAAAAAGTTAATGAGTAGTCGGGAAATTCTTTTCTTAAAGCATCAACCATTTTCTCTCTTACTTTGTGCTCCTTGTCGTACTTCTCATATTCATTTCTTTCTTTTGTGGAAGCATTTCTACCGACTGGAGAAACGTTAATCATACCGTTTCTGAACTCAACAAACGTGCCTCTTCTAAAGGGAAGATCAATATCAGACAAATACCTTAAAATAAACTTTACCAATTTATTATATTTCTCTTCTCCAATCCATCCAATAAATGATTGAGAAGCGAGTTCTTTTCCTTTTTTATAAGCAGTCAAGCCGTTTTCTGAAAAGCAATAATCAAAATCAGTCAAAATATTAGGACCTAATTGCTCAATTTGCTTGTTGAAGTCCGATCCACCGACGAACCCAATAACAACCTTTTTCTTTAATTTTTTTAAAGTTTCCTCCATTTCATCTGAAATACTTAACCTGGCAGGTGTCAAAGTGCCATCAACGTCAAATAAGACTAATACTTTTGGGTTTTCTTTCTCTGGAAATGATGACATCTTCTGTTATTACGCAATTAACAAGAAATTATAATCAACTAACTAGTATTGGGAATGGTGTCTATAAATACGTGGAAGCATTAAATTTATTTTGGACAACACACCGGCCAGCGCATATAAATAATGACAGCGCGTAGCTTGATTTTGCCAGCGCAAAGTTAAATTCCGTTCCTCGTGTTCCGACAAATAGAGCGTTTATATAGAAAAGCATCTAAAGCGATTTGGCCTACAACTAGAAAGTCTGCTAAAAGACATCGATATAAGGAGGATACTTTAAATTAAATCTTTTTTTTATAAAAACATACAAAGAAAATGTCGAACTACCCGTTAAAGCATTTAAGCTTCATACTGGTAATCAGGAAATTGTCTCAAGTTTTCTTCTAAAGGACCCTTCTTGCTCAAGAACTTGACGTAGGCACCATCATCCTTGACTTCACCGTTAGTCTTCTTAGCAATGTATTCCTCTCTATCCAAAGGTGTGAAACCCCATTTCTTGGAAATAATGATTCTTTGCTGACCAGGGAACTTATATCTTGCTCTTCTCAAACCTTCAATAATGACATCCTTGTTAGAGTCCTTGGTTCTAGCAGACATGATAATTTGGCCGATAGAAACTCTAGCAGCCAAACCATGAGGCTTACCCCAAGCACCTCTCATACCTTGTTGCAATCTATCAGCACCTGCACATGACAACATCTTGTTAATACGCAAGACGTGGAATGGGTGAACTCTGACTCTCAAGTGGAAAGAATCTCTACCAGAGATCTTGGTGATATATTTGTTTGCACAGATACGAGCAGCTTCCAAAGCTTCGGATGACAATTGTTCTAACTCATTAGAGACCAAGTGGACACACAATGGGAATTCATCAACAGCAGCCTTCTTTCTACCTAAATCATAAATTCTGATCTTGGCATCTGGCACAGCTCTGTTGTATCTAGATTTTGGAAATGGTTTGTTCTTACAGTATCTGTAACATCTAGCTGGTCTTCTAGCCATTTTGTCTATAACTTGTTAGTAACCTTACTTAATCAAAAAAACATGGAAGCTAACCAAATTTATAGTCCCAAAGGAATTGTATTGCCATCATTAAAATTTTGCATGATGATTACAAATCGAAATCACCCACACTGGACGTCTTTAACCCACACAAAAACCTGCCACAGATGTACAGTGAGATCACCTTGAGATACTTTTTGAACTGATACCACGTAATGCAACTAGTTGCAAGAAATCACATACCTTAATTTACTATAATACCTTTAACAATTAAAAGTAGCTATAGGCTTGAAAATCCTTTATGTGAGGAAAATTTTGGTCAGAACGAAAGCGAATATTTTTTTTACTACACAAAACCGGTCAACGTATACACAGGTTCTGTTTTCTGCTAGGTCACATTCAGATCAGGTGACATCGTGACTTGTTAATTTTTCATAAAGTGTTATCACCTGATCTTCAATTTTCCCAATTCTTGCACATTAGTTTTAGAATAGCTTGGTAACCCATTAGTTAGCAGGAACTGAATTTTTAAGTAGAAGCTTGCTGAGATACCTTCACAAATTCTGGACAATCTTGCTTCGTGATATAACTTCCCTTTAACCGAATCGTCTGCGTCAAGGCTTCGTGATTTAATCGCTAGTGGTTGAAATTATAACACAGTCCAACTACGTATGTGCAGGCCAAAAAAATGTTCTCAGCTCATCATGTAGCCTACAAAGAATAACGATGGGCCCTAAAATCAAGGAGTGATTATAAAGAAACTAAAACACTTTTAAGGTACAGATAACCAAGTTCGCTCGAAAATGGGAAGATATAGCGTTAAAAGATATAAGACTAAAAGAAGAACTAGAGATCTTGATTTGATTTATGGTGATTTAGCGACAAAGGAGTCCATCTGGAAGTTGAAAAATCAACCTTTGGATGAAAATAAGCCTGGACTTGGGCAGTACTACTGCATTGAATGTGCTAGATACTTTGAAAATCAGTTAGCTTTAAATCGCCATACCGCAGGAAAGGTACACAAGAGAAGAGTAAAAGACTTGAGGCTGAAACCATATACTAATTTAGAAGCAGAGGCTGCTTCGGGCATTAATATGGAGCGATTTGCTGAATCTGTTGAAAACTACAAAAAACTTGAGGATTATAAGGCAAGCAATGCCCAGGAGTTCGACAAACTCAAAAACCAAGCAAATAGAGATCTAGACGAAATTATTATTGGTGCTCCAGCAGCCCAAATTGAAAAGGAAGGACAAATAGACGACATGTCTATTGTGGATCAAAATGATAACCCTTCTGGTCAAGTTGAGATGGCACAATGAGTATTGATATCAAGTTTGCAAGTAAAAAGACATATCTTTGACAATATTCTCATCAGTGCAAATTATTTAGCATTCACTTCTTTAGTTAATTAAGCATATAACACGGATTATACAAAAGGTAACGTTAAAATGGCATTAATAAAGTACCATCCTATGAATAGTTTTGTGTAACTTGCCAACTTATTTAACGATTGGTATCATAGCAGTAAAGATTGAAGTATCATATAATCATGAAGTTAAGAGTCAAATCTAAGTATGGGAGCAGAATAGTAGATTCCGTTGATGAGATGGCCGACTTGGGTTCTTTCTTAGAACTCATCTCAGAGCCATCTAGTTTAAATCAGAATTCACAACTAGAAGTGGCGAATATTAAAAGAGGGTTTCCACCTGTTTCGATAGATTTATCAGCTTCCACAATGTCAATAGGAGACCACGGGATAAGAAACGGCGAGCAGTTGATCGTGGAGTTTCACATAACAGGACAGAGTGATGATGTGGGAAAGTCTAGTGCCAATGGTTCACGCACCAACCAAAGTCTAGATATACCAACGGTATATTTGAGTGATTTGAAAAAGTATTTAATTCTTCGTAATGTTCCCGATGATAACTCTTGTATGTTCAATGCTTTAGCGTATGCCTTGAATGGTCTGGAATCGTATAAAGAAGATGGAATTCTGCCACCGAAGTATTTTAGAACAATTGTGGGAAACTATATAAAGAAGAACCCTGATGTGTATAACGAGATAGTATTGGGTAAGTCGCCAGAGGAGTATAGTACTTGGATTGAAAAGAAGAACTCATGGGGTGGGGCTATAGAGCTAGGGATCCTTGCTTCCGAACTAAATATAAGAATTGACTGCCTTGATATTGAACTGGGAAACATCATTAAATTCGAGAATGAAAATAATGAACCAAATATGTTCATAATTTTAATTTACAGTGGAATTCATTACGATCTCTTGGCTCTTAACAGCGAGCTTTCGAATGATAGCTTTCATAAAGCCAAGGATGAGACTAAGTGGTTAATAGCATCAAGTGAACGAGAGAATATAATTTCAGGCGCTAAGGAGCTATGCGCGTTACTTCAACTGAAGAACTATTCTACTAATACTACAAAATTTAGAGTGAGATGTTTGGATTGCTATAAGGTTCTTGTAGGAGAAATGGGTGCTAGTAATCATGCTAATGAAACGGGACACTTTAATTTTGGAGAAGTAAAGTGACTTTTGTTTTATTCGTATTAAAACAAAGCTAGCTATGAACCTAAAGAAGTTGCAACAAGACGCCTAGCTAATATTTATGAAAGATGTACTCAAAGAGTAAATTTATTGAAAATGTTACAGATTTACCAACAGGTTGCGAATAAATCGCAAAATGGCATTTATATAGAAGGAAGGAATGAATGAATGAAATATGGTTGAAATCAATTTGCATTTGTATGGAGCATGGTCCTCAGGCTCAATTTCATATCCTCTATACTATACTATATATGAAGAGGCCAAATACCAGTGGCTAAGATAACGTTCGGAGCTAGCCTTTGTAAATACCCTGAGATAATATTATGTGTGGTCTATATGCAGCAAAGAGACAGTATGACAACGATCAAAAATCAAAAGCGAAAAGATAAGATTTCAATCACCATCCTTACACGGAGGTGAGTGAGTATACATGAGTACTTCTCGGGCAAAGAGAGTAAAGATATCACCTTTTACAATATGTGATTTCAAAAAGACTATGATTCGACCTCCGTCTGTGATGGACACTTCCAGCAAAGTGTTTCTTAATATTTATACTTGATTGAGAGCATTCGAAAATATTTTAGAAAAACGTAATTACTGCGGCGTGCTTGTCAATGGCCTAAGATGAACAGTGAATTGAAAATACTCATCTTGAGTTGGTCTCTCCAAAACCTATTTTCCTGATTATTGGAATAGAATGTCTACTAAGGCAATTCATATATTGAGGATCTTGTTGAAGAGGCACCTATGTCTATAGTACCACAAAAAACTTCGGTACACTCAAGGCTGAGGAAACTTCATGTTTAGGGAGCATACCAATAAATATGGAACGAAATAATACTATCTGGATGACTGGTAAAATACCATAAATAGAACCTGGATTATCAGTGTTCCCAAGCAGTGAAAATGCAAAAGAAATGTTTCTGAAGTGCTAGACGAATTTGTGCTCTGAATTTAGGAATATTTCCAAGGCGACGATAGGGAGAGGGGTGGGTTTCAATAAGACATGTCCCAATAGAAATTATGAAGAAAAATATTCAATGAGAGTCGTTTTCCTGATAAAGTAGTTATTTACAAAAGAAACAAAGGGCCTCCAGATTCAATATATACAAACAAAACTATTCTTCGGAAGACTGTCGAGAATGAAAAGATGGCAATTTACCTCCCATTAATAGGCAAATTCTATAGAATTTAAACATATGAACCTTTTAATATAAAGCATTTAAACCACGTGATGAATTTTTTTCTTTTGTCCAGAACCGAAACTTTCAAGCATTTTCAAGCGTCAACAAAAAGCTCTGATCGAATTATCCAAGTGTTTTCACTAGATTTTTCTACTTTGTTGTTGATAGATCGGGCAATTTTAAAATAATATACTATATCTAGATAGATCTAGCTTTCTTGAAATGTCTGCAACAACCGAGTTTTTTTGTATGTTTTATGTTCAAAAGTTTGGCTTCATCGCGTTGCCAATGATCTGAAAATTTGTTCTAGAGGAGCCATTATACTAACAATCAATTAGGCCGTCAACCTAGAACGGTAGACTTAATACATAGTTACGAGAATATAACACCAGAGCCTAGGGCAACAGAGGAGTGTCGATCAGCCTTGTATTCCCCTAATGGAAGATATTTTGCTTATACGCAGCCTACTGAAGTAAAAATTTTAGACGTCAACGGTAAAGCAGAGCAATTAGTTACTATTCCAGAAAAGGATGTCTATGATATATTCTTTTCGCCCAAAGGCAGCTATTTATGTATGTGGTGTAAACCAGTTTTATTGAATAAAGAAAATGGCACTTGGAACAAAAACTTGAAGATCTATAATCTTGCTTTGAATAAAGTTATTGTTGAGTGGCCAAACAAACATCAAAATGGTTGGAAACCACAGTTTACTCAAGATGAAAAAATTTTTGCAATTGGACATAATTCCAAAGAAATTCATTTCTTTGATATCAATGAATCATTGGAAGAAATAAATGTTCATCATCCAAACCATGTTTTCAAGTCGGGCGATAGTAAACAGACTTTTCAAAATTTTCAAATTTCACCTGGATTAAATCCTTCGGTGGCTATTTTTATACCAGAAAAAAGCGGAAAGCCTGCAAGCGTATTGATTTATAATGTACCAAACTTCAATCAACCAATTTGCTCTAAAAATTTTTTCAAGGCCGAAAGATGTCAGCTAAAGTGGAATTCCTTGGGTACAGCATTATTAGCATTAGCATCAACAGATCACGATACTACAAATCAATCTTACTACGGGGAAACAAACTTGTATTTATTAGGTATTGCAGGATCTTATGATTCAAGGATTGATTTAAGAAAAGAAGGGCCAATTCACGATATCACTTGGTCTCCTTCTGCAAGAGAATTTGCTGTCATATACGGATACATGCCGGCAGAAACAACGTTTTTCGATTCTAGAGGTAATGCCATACATACATTACCTACTGCTCCAAGAAACACAATCTTGTATTCACCTCACGCTAGATTTATTCTTGTGGCAGGATTTGGTAATCTCCAAGGTACTGTAGATGTCTACGACCGTCAAAAAAAGTTCACTAAGATAACAACATTTGAAGCCTCAAATACTTCAGTTTGCGAGTGGTCGCCTTGTGGTCGATTTATTTTGACTGCCACGACGTCACCACGGCTTCGGGTAGATAATGGATGCAAAATCTGGCATGCAAGTGGAAAATTGATTTATTACAAGGAGTATCCAGAATTATATTCGATCGGTTGGAAACCTCAAGGTATTGATCAATTTCCTCCATTAAAGCAATTGGAAGAAGCACCTGAGGCTCAAGCTTCCGCAAAGGAATATGAAGCTAGGAAACAGGGATTGCAATCATCAGCAGCAAAGAAACCCGCAGGCGCTTATAGGCCTCCCCATGCTAGAGGTACTGCTGGCTCTTCTACTAGAACATCTTTATATCAAAAGGAAATGCAAACTAACTTGATTGGTGGTAATGGCTCAGCCAATGGCATAAATCCATCATCTGGAAGAGCCAGAGTAGTCCCAGGAGCTGCACCAGCTCCAACGAAGGAAAGCAAGGCTGCAGCTAAAAACAGAAAGAAAAGAGAAGCTAAAAAGCTGCATCAATCAGATGATACTTCTCCACAGTCGTCGCACGAAGAATCGAATCAAACTGAACAAGCTTCACCATCTCTGTCAAATGTGTCCCTCTCGGGATCAAAAGATAGTACTACGGGTGGGACTGTTGTAGGTGGAGTCGCATCTATCGAAGAGAAGAAGATCAGATCATTATTGAAAAAGCTTAGAGCAATAGAGACCCTCAAAATGAAACAAGCAAATGGAGAGCCTTTAGAGGATACTCAGGTCAGCAAAATTAACAAGGAGGGCGATATCAGAAAAGAATTAAGTCAACTCGGTTGGTCTGACTAAGAAATATTATTTCCTTCTGCTTCTTGTAATTAATTATGTATAGACATATAAAGATATATATAGAAGCAGATCTTTTGTACCATTCCCAATCGGGAAGTGTGATAGCCTCGACCGGAAATTGTGAGTTGTGTGCCTGAACATTTTCGATCGTAACCATCAAATCTGCGCCATGCTATGTCTTAGTTGCCAACAGCCCTACTGTTGGGAAGATGGCTGGCTCTGCATACCCTCAAAGCAAGTCTTTAAAGATCTGAAGAATTATTAACTTTAATTCAATTGCCGAATCCCTTTAAACTGCCCTGCATAGCTATTTTCTGCTTATTTTATCCTAGTGTAATATGAGCATTGGTTCGGAGGCGACTGTCAAAACAACAGCGAGGCGGCCAGGCGAACTGCGAATTGCGACCTCCGAACTTTATAGTGAATACGGTAGTGTTTTGTTGTTTCTCACTATCGAAATGGCATGGGTCAACTGTTCAGTCCAGATGTAGTGTCTGGATCATCAGTAATTTTACTAGGACCCAACGCGCTAAGCAAAGTACATACATTCGTGTCTTCCTGTTTCTAGGGTGTCGCCACGGTGCATAAGTAAGGAGACCTTCCATTCGGGCAGGAAAACTCTACCTGCACGCCTTTGCACCTTTGTTGACCGGAATTTTGAATTCCAATCACGACGCGAAATTTTTTGCTACGTCAAAAAAGCGCAGCAGGACTTCGAGCTTTGGCGCTGCTCCCTGGTACGTCCTTTTCTAAAATTAATTTAAAACAATTTTTTTTTTCTGCTTCTTTTCTTTTGATTCAAGTAAACTTCAAAGTGTAAGTTGTCGTTTCGTTCTTGAGACCTACCAAGTGACTCTTTTTGGAATCAGTTTGTTGTCTCTGGTGTTAAGAAGAAACGATTTTCACTGTATGTGTTTTCTTTTAGTACTTTGTACTTGCATGATCCTTGATTCAATGATCTGGCACAAACTGGCACGAATAAAAAGCTCAGGGGAGAAAGAGATGGAGAACATAATCGAAGAATAATGATTACTCTAATGATCAAGGACTTATAGAAACGAAGCCGGAATCATAATGTTAATCCTTAATATGAGTACTTATTGTGGGCGCGGTTTCATATCAGGTTCGCAGTACATAATTTTTGATTTGATCCCGGGTTGCAATTACTATGGAATACTTAAGATAGGGTAAGCGGAAACTTGAGTTATCAGAAGCAGTAGGTTCAGCTCAACTGGTTAATATGTTGAGTTACTTTATGTGTCTTAGAGTATCTCAAATGTTACCTAGTCTGTTGCTGTTCTGTTAAGGGATACCGGATTACTCTATGTGTGCCTCGACATACTTTTTTCTTTTTCTATCCCGATTTGTCCAAATTCCATCCCATTTGAAAGGGACAAGTTTAATGTGCCAGGTTTATAAGAACAAGAGTGTTGGATCATCTTGATCTGAATAGAATACTAACGATAAATTTTAGATGTCGTACGATAATAATCACAACTATTATGATCCTAATCAACAGGAACATCTTGCTGGTGATCATGATGGCTATTATCAGCAACAACCTTACGATATGAACCAGCAGGGATATTATGATCCTAATGCTCAGTATCAACAACAAAACTATGACTACGATGGTTACAATGATCAACAGTATGGTATGCCTGTGGATCAACAGATGCACCAACAGTCTATGGGAAGCTATAATGCTGACCCGGAAGCTTTCTCTGACTTCAGCTATGGTGGTCAGACCCCGGGTACTCCTGGTTATGATCAATATGGAACTCAATATACGCCATCTCAGATGAGCTATGGGGGGCCGAGGTCATCGGGAGCCTCAACTCCAATTTATGGTGGACAAGGTAGTTATGATCCAACACAGTTCCAATTATCATCAAGCTTACCATATCCTGCTTGGTCTGCTGACCCTCAGGCTCCTGTCAAGATCGAGCATATCGAGGATATTTTTATTGATTTGACTAACAAATTTGGTTTTCAAAGAGACTCCATGAGAAATATGTTCGATCATTTCATGACCTTATTAGACTCTCGAGCATCTCGTATGTCTCCTGCTCAAGCATTATTAAGCTTACACGCAGATTACATTGGAGGTGAGAATGCTAATTATAAAAGATGGTTTTTTGCATCGCAACAGGATTTGGACGATTCAATTGGGTTTAGCAACATGAACTTAGGTAAAATAGGTAAAAAAGCAAGAAAAGCAAGCAAGAAATCTAGAAAGGCCAGAAAAGCAGTTGAAGAACATGGAGAAGATATGGACGCTATCGCTAACGAGTTAGAAGGAGACTATTCTATGGATGCTGCAGAGATAAGATGGAAGGCTAAGATGAATGCATTGTCGCCCGAGGAAAGAGTTAGAGATATCGCTCTTTACTTATTATTCTGGGGTGAAGCTAATCAAGTTCGTTTTACTTCTGAGTGCTTGTGTTACATTTACAAGACTGGTTTGGATTATTTATTATCCCCCCAATGTCAACAAAGGCAGGAACCTGTTCCTGAGGGTGATTTCTTGAATAGAGTCATAACCCCAATTTATAGATTTTTAAGATCTCAAGTGTATGAAATCTACGATGGTAGATTTGTTAAGAGAGAAAAAGATCATAATAAAGTTGTGGGTTATGATGACGTTAATCAATTATTCTGGTATCCAGAGGGTATTTCAAGAATTATTTTTGAGGATGGTACTAGACTAGTTGATGTTCCTCAAGAAGAACGTTACTTAAGATTAGGTGAAGTCGAATGGCCAAATGTGTTTTTCAAGACTTATAAGGAGATCAGAACTTGGTTGCATTTTGTCACCAATTTCAACAGAATTTGGATTATTCATGGAACAGTTTACTGGATGTACACATCTTATAATTCTCCGACTTTATACACCAAGCATTACACACAAACATCTAACCGTCAACCTACTGCATCCTCAAGATGGGCAGCAGCAGCCATTGGTGGTATCCTTGCTTCATTTATCGAAATATGTGCTACTGTTTGTGAGTGGTTGTTTGTTCCAAGAGAATGGGCTGGAGCTCAACACTTGTCGCGGAGATTAGTATTCTTGATACTTATCTTAATTCTCAATTTGATTCCTGTGGTTTTTACTTTCTATTGGGCTGGATTGCAAACAGTCTCGAAAGCTGCTCACGTAGTCTCAATCGTTGGATTTTTCATTGCTATTGCTACTTTAGTTTTCTTTGCAGTGATGCCTTTGGGTGGCTTGTTTACTTCTTACATGAACAAGAGATCAAGAAAGTACTTCTCATCTCAGACTTTCACAGCTAACTTCTACAAGTTAAGAGGTTTAGACATGTGGTTGTCATATTTGCTTTGGTTTTTGGTCTTTTTGGCTAAGTTGATCGAATCTTATTTCTTTTTGGCTTTGTCTATAAGAGATCCCATCAGAAATTTGTCTACTATGACGATGAGATGTGTTGGTGAGGTTTGGTTTGGTGTTAGATTATGCAGACAACAAGCTAAAATCACCTTGGGTTTGATGTACCTTGTCGATTTGTTATTGTTCTTCTTGGATACTTACATGTGGTACATTATCTGTAACTGTATCTTCTCCATTGGACGTTCCTTTTACTTGGGTATTTCTATCTTAACCCCGTGGAGAAATATTTTCACAAGATTGCCTAAGAGGATCTATTCCAAGATCTTGGCTACATCCGAAATGGAGATAAAATACAAGCCAAAGGTTTTGATTTCTCAAATTTGGAATGCTATTGTTATTTCCATGTACAGGGAACACTTATTGGCCATTGATCATGTGCAGAAATTATTATATCATCAAGTCCCTTCTGAAATTGAAGGAAAGAGGACTCTCAGAGCTCCAACCTTCTTTGTAAGTCAGGACGATAACAATTTTGATACCGAGTTCTTCCCTAGAAATTCTGAAGCAGAAAGAAGAATCTCTTTCTTCGCACAATCCTTAGCTACTCCTATATTGGAGCCTTTGCCTGTCGATAATATGCCTACCTTTACTGTCTTGACTCCTCACTATTCTGAAACGATTTTGCTTTCTTTGAGAGAAATCATCAGAGAAGAAGATCAATTTTCAAGAGTTACTTTGTTGGAATACTTGAAACAGTTACATCCAGTCGAATGGGAATGTTTCGTGAAGGACACTAAAATTTTAGCAGAGGAAACTGCAGCATATGAGAGTGGGGACGACCCTGAGAAAGTTTCTGAAGATGGATTGAAATCTAAGATTGACGATTTGCCATTCTACTGTATCGGTTTTAAGTCTGCATCTCCTGAATATACTTTAAGAACTAGAATTTGGGCTTCATTGAGATCTCAAACATTGTACAGAACTGTTTCAGGTTTCATGAATTATGCTAGAGCAATTAAGTTGTTGTATCGTGTTGAAAATCCCGAATTAGTTCAATACTTTGGAGGTGATCCGGAAGGCTTAGAGTTGGCTTTAGAAAAAATGGCCAGAAGAAAGTTCAGATTTGTTGTTTCTATGCAGAGAATGGCAAAGTTTAGAGACGATGAAATGGAAAACGCCGAATTTTTGTTACGTGCCTACCCAGATTTGCAAATTGCATACTTGGATGAGGAACCAGCTTTAAATGAAGATGAAGAACCTCGTGTTTACTCAGCTTTGATCGACGGTCATTGCGAGATGCTTGAAAATGGAAGACGTCGTCCTAAATTTAGAGTTCAGTTATCTGGTAATCCTATATTGGGTGATGGTAAGTCAGATAATCAAAATCATGCTATCATTTTCCATAGAGGTGAATACATTCAATTGATTGATGCTAACCAGGATAATTACTTGGAGGAGTGTTTGAAGATTAGATCCGTTTTAGCAGAGTTCGAAGAACTTAATGTTGAACACGTCAATCCTTACGCACCTGATTTGAAGCTCGATAAGAGCGACTACAAGGCACCCGTTGCGATCTTGGGTGCTAGAGAGTACATTTTTTCCGAGAATTCAGGTGTCCTTGGTGATGTTGCTGCAGGTAAGGAACAGACTTTTGGTACTTTGTTCGCCAGGACCTTAGCTCAAATTGGTGGTAAGTTACATTATGGTCATCCTGATTTCTTGAATGCTACATACATGTTGACTAGAGGAGGTGTCTCAAAGGCTCAAAAAGGTTTGCATTTGAACGAGGATATCTATGCTGGTATGAATGCTCTATTAAGAGGAGGTAGAATCAAGCACTGTGAATACTACCAATGTGGTAAAGGAAGAGATTTAGGTTTCGGTTCTATTTTGAATTTTACTACAAAAATTGGAGCTGGTATGGGTGAACAAATGTTGTCCAGAGAATACTATTATTTGTCTACTCAGTTACCATTGGATCGTTTCTTATCCTTCTATTACGGTCATCCTGGTTTCCATATCAACAATATCTTCATTCAATTGTCTTTGCAAGTTTTTATTTTGGTCTTGGCAAACTTGAATTCTTTGGCTCATGAATCTATAATATGCTCATATGATAAAAATATTCCGGTTACTGATGTGCTTTTCCCATACGGTTGTTACAATATTTCTCCAGCTGTTGATTGGATCAGACGTTATACTTTATCTATTTTCATTGTTTTCTTCATTTCCTTTATCCCATTAGTGGTACAAGAATTGATCGAAAGAGGTCTTTGGAAAGCATTTTCAAGATTTATCCGTCATATCATTTCGTTATCTCCCATGTTTGAAGTCTTTGTCGCTCAAATATACTCATCTTCACTTTTTACCGATTTAACTGTTGGTGGAGCTAGATATATTTTCACTGGTAGAGGTTTTGCTACTTCAAGAATCCCATTTTCCATTACGTACTCTCGTTTTGCCGATGAGTCTATTTACATGGGAGCAAGAATGATGTTAATATTACTTTTCGGGTCCGTCTCTCACTGGCAAGCACCATTATTGTGGTTCTGGGCTTCATTATCTTCGTTGGTGTTTTCACCTTTTATTTTCAATCCTCATCAATTCTCATGGCAGGACTTTTTCATTGATTACAGAGAATTTATTAGATGGTTGTCAAGAGGTAATGCTAAATGGCACAAGAGCTCTTGGATTGGCCAAATTAGGATGTCAAGGTCTCGTTTCACTGGTTTCAAACGTAAGTTGACAGGTGACATTTCTGAAAAGAATGTCAAAGATACTTCTAGGGCTCATAGATCCAATATGTTCTTTGCCGACTTTTTGCCAACCCTCATTTACACCGCTGGTCTTTTCGTTGCATATACATTCATTAACGCTCAAACTGGTGTCACCAAAAATTCCTATTCAGTTGACGGTAGTACTGCCCCTATTAAAGTTAACTCAACTTTAAGAGTGATCATTTGCTCGTTAGGTCCTGTCGTCATTGACATGGGTGTGTTGGCTGTTTGTGTCGGTATGGCTTGTTGTGCTGGTCCTATGTTGGGATTGTGTTGCAAGAAGACTGGTGCTGTTATCGCAGGTGTAGCTCATGGATTTGCAGTTGTCATTCATTTAGTATTTTTCATTGTCATGTGGGTTTTGGAAGGTTTCGTGTTTGCAAGGATGTTGTTAGGTGTCGCCACTATGATATATATCCAAAGATTGTTATTCAAATTTATGACGATGTGTTTCTTAACAAGAGAGTTCAAGAATTCTCAATCAAATACTGCTTTCTGGACAGGTAAATGGTACGGAACTGGTATGGGATGGATGGCTTTCACTCAGCCTTCTCGTGAATTCTGTGCTAAGATTATTGAGATGTCACACTTCGCAGGTGATTTCATCTTAGCTCATTTGATCTTGTTCTGTCAGTTACCAATCTTGTGTATTCCACTTGTTGATAGATGGCACTCAACTATGTTATTCTGGTTGAAGCCCTCGAGATTAATCAGACCACCAATCTATTCCTTGAAGCAAGCTAGATTGAGAAAGAGAATGGTCAGAAAATACTGTACATTATACTTCGCAGTTTTAGTTTTATTCGTTATTATTATTGCAGCCCCTGCAGTTGCCGGTTCCAAGGTGCCAAAGTCTTTAGGATCAACACTTACAGGTCCATTCTCAGGTTTATTCCAACCTAGACACGTTGATAACAATGACACTGGTAAGAACAGACCTAAGAGTTACACTTGGACATACTACACTACCAAAGATCCAAAGACATCTTCTTACTCTACAAAGGCTTAAACTTTTTGGTCAATCAATAGGTCCTAAAGAAGGAAAGAAATTGTTATTTACTTCGAATCAAGATGGCATTTCCCGTCCATAAATCGTCCTAGTTAGTCGTAAATTTTTCTTAGTATTTCTTAAGAGTCTTATACATATATTTTGTTTACTTGAAAATTCTAGATTATTTATATGATCGGAAAATGTAAAATTGAGATCTGGTGATTTCCCGCACTTACATTAATATATCGAATTATTCGGCCATAGCACTTAAACTTTGATGACAACCGTTTTAAGATATTAAATAATCAATCATAAGTAGTGAAGATGGCAATTCTATTTAAAGCTCACTCGTTGCCCAAGTCAACGAAGATTTTGCTTTCAATGGTAACTTCAGTTCTGTTGCTTATTTTCCTTATACGATTTAATAAATATAGGAATCAAGAGGTGAAAGAGGATGGTACAACTCTTAAATTTAAAGAGATAAATGTCTCCTTTCTACAGCTAGTGCCCAGGTTTACTATATATTACCCGTGGGTATTAGCCACGTCAATTTTTGCGGAGTCTACCATATTCTCATTTATTCCATCATTTTATGTGTTGTTGGTTTCTTCAAGATATCTAGAAAAGTTTTGGGGGTATAAAGAAGTCTTGAAATTTGTTTTCATAGTAGGTACAATAAGCAACCTACTCACGGTTTTAATTACCATCGTGTTTAACTTAATACGCGGCGATGTAAAGGGAATGGATCGACCATTGGGAGGAGGTATTTCATATTACTTTGGATTCTTGGTGTCTTTAAAGCAGTTGATTCCAGAGCATAATATTATATTATTTAAAGGGCTATTAAACTTCAGGGTGAAACAATTACCATTTATTTTGATTGGTCTCGTTTCTTGCTGGTCACTTTTGATAAGTCGCTCAATATATCCAGCAGTTCCTGCAATTAATAGTACTTTGATTGCCTTCAACTACTTGAGATTTTATCAAGCCTTTTGGTCTGACCCATTACTTCCTATTACTACTGCAAATGGGGACAACTCAAACTCTTCTTTTATTAGAGGTGATGCTTCGGATACATTTAGACTAGTTGAATTTTTCCCAAATATCCTTAAACCTTACTTGTCTGGTTTATTCGAAAAAACATATGATTTATCTGTTTTCCTTGGTATAGTCACTCCTTTCAATGACGATATAATTGAGCAGAGCAATTTAAGAACCCAAAGGCGACTGGAACAAGCCAGTCAATCGCAGAAAAGTGTGGCAAATTCGGTCGCTGAAAGGAGAAGACAAGTTGCATTACAGGTCATTGAAGACAGAATCAATAAGGAAACAAACAAATAGGCATTTTTCTTTATTTAATTATTAAATTCTCATTCGTAAGTAATAGGATGTTTATCATCAATAGAAATTACACAAATTCAAATTTGACAGAGATAAAAAATGGTTGATTCAAAACATTATATTGATGTGAGACGACAGGGGAAATTTTATAGACTAGTTAAATAACTGATGCTTCGAGGTAATCATATACGAACTTTCAGACCCAAGTATGGGAAATCTTCTGGATTTTTGCCACTTCCAGCTTCAGTTAATAGAATGAATGGTTATCGAAAGCATTTGGTACCATATATTCTAGTCTGTATGATTTTGATATTTTATTTTTTGAATCCAATAGGTTACTACAAACAATGGACAAGCACAGCAACACATAACTATCCAGCGTCTCATCCCTTGACTAGCCCCTATGTCATCGAATCATCTTCAAAGTATTTATTTCCACCGATCGAGCATGCACCTCTTTTGAAACAGCTTACGCCAAAAAAATTAGTCAAAGAAAACAGGATTAGAGACGCAAATTTTCCTGAAATAGAGAAAAGTTTCATCCAATCCTTGAACATTGAAGATGACCCTGATCCAATTAGACAAAGGATTAAAGAAGACGAAGAGAACGCTCTTTCAGATATTGCGAGGGTTAAAAATACCTTTAAAAATCAAGATAAATTGGTTTATAAGCCAAAGTCAACTAAAAATTACCCAGATGTTGTTATTGTAACGGCTGTAGATTTTGAGAAGTATTCTCTAGAAGGTTTGACAAAAATCGTTCAGAATAGAGTGGATTATGGGCATGCTCAAAATTATGGTGTTTATGTGCGCTGGTATCAAGAATTTTTACCAATCTTGCATTCTTTCAGCTACTTACATGTGAAAGAGAAGGCCAAATGGGTAAGACTTTATTGTCTTAGAGCAGCAATGTTTGCTTTCCCAGAGGCTAAATGGTTTTGGTACATCGAACAAGATGCGCTTATTATGAATCTTCAAATTGACCTTGAGCAGTACCTCCTATCTCCTGAAGCTTTGGACCCTGCAATGAAGAGAGAGCAGCCTATCATACCTCCAGATGGTGCGATTAAGACATATAAAAATCTGCAGCCAGGATCGGTCAAACTAATAGTGACGCAAAATGAGCTCATGATTGATTCAAGCTCTTTCTTCATCAAAAATGATGTTATTGGAAGATCAATAATAGAGTTTTGGGGAGATAAACTTTACTTATTATACCAAAACTTCCAGTATGGTCCTGATTCTGCTTTGACGCATATTTTGCAATGGCATCCCTTCTTTTTAAGCAAATCAACAATTATTTCGGCAAGGTCAATTAATTCGTTAGCATACAGTTTAGATTTATCGGAAGATTCGAAGAAGCAAGATCAATATCACTATCAAAAAGGTGACTTTGTAGTTCAATGGACTGATCAAGAAGACATTAACATGTGTGAAAAAATTCTATCTCAATACTATTCTATTCTTAAAGGCAATTAATATTTTAATAGGTTACCTTAAGTTAATATATATATATATATATTCAAAATGTA